CGCCGGAGCCGGGCCCTCTCGGCAGCCTCCGGCCCGGCAGCTTCTCGGGCATGAGCGGGGCCCTTCGCTGTGGCCAGCTGCCGCGCCGCACCCCGACTTTTGCCCCGCGCCGGGAACATGCCCCTGGCCGCCTACTGCTATCTGCGGGTCGTTGGTAGGGGCAGCTACGGGGAGGTGACGCTCGTGAGGCACCGGCGGGACGGCAGGCAGGTCGGCGGAGTTGGGGCCCATCCGGGGGCGGGGAACACGCAGGGGTTCGCCCAGGGCTCTGTCCAAACGTCGGACCCCGGGGTGGTCTGCAGGGGACTCACCCCGAGGGCACTTTCTCGGGGCCAGTGTCCCAGTCCACCAAGACTAGGCCATACCTTCCTGTAATACGCACCCCGAACACCCTGTACCTCTCCTTTGTGTGTTCATTGTGTGCTTGATGGACACTTCTCCGGAGCACGCTCAACGATCCCTGAGAGCAAACGTTCTCGGGACCTAACAGCGCCTGGCAAATATTACTCCCTGAGGGACGGGCCCCATACATATGACCTGGAGACCAGTGGACATGCGTAAAACTCAACTCATCAGCTTTCTGCCAGCCTTTCCTCCTGACCCCTGTTTCAGTGAGTAGCACCACCAACCAGCCAGCTGCCCGTGCTGGACACCTGGGAGTCATTATTGATTCCCCTCTTCCCCTCACCCCCATTCATCTGTCCACTGAGCCCGCAGGCTCTTCTCCATCTCCACTGGTACCACCCCAGGCCAGGACGTCTTTATCTCCAAGTAAACTCTTGTCCAGGCCTCCCCCTGGCCCCTCCTGCCACAGGACTTGCTCTTCTCCAGTCCATCCCTTTCATTGCAATCTTAGTGATTGTTCTAAAAGTTAGGTGTAGTGTCACTCCTTTGCTTAAAGCACTTTGTCTCAACTTCAGGATAAGGAGCCAGTTCTTTAATGTGGTTTATAAATAAGCTGACCATGTAATATATTGCACAGACTGGGACAAGTTTGAAGCTGAAAGGAGGTGCCATTCATAAGTACACCAACACAAGGGGGCTGCCCCAGGCAAGCTTCCAGAGGCCCACCTCAGTATAAGACTCTCGCCTGCCCTTCTTTGTCTCGGGTGCGGGTCACTCTGCCTGGAACAAAAGCTCAGGCATAAGAGAGGTATTCGGTAGGCAGGTGTGTGTGTGTGTGTGAGGGGAGCAGTCATTGGGTTTTTGAGTTGAGGATAGCCCCTCACATTTGAGCAGAAGTTTACATTTTACAAAGCACAATTACATATGTGTTCGTTGAGTGGTAATTGTGTGGTCTTTTGATTGATTGAGGGTAGTGTATTAGGTGTGAGAGGATATTGATTTTTGTTTTAATGTGGGAATAGTTTTGTATGTTGAGGATCAGTGATTTTTTTAACCTTATTGGGCTATAGATCCCTTTGAAAACTTCATGCAACCCATGGATCCATTCCGTCTGAAGAATTTTTTTGTGTGACTACCCTACTATTAGTCTAACTTGTAAAAAGTACTATTAGTGAAAACGGGTTTTTTTTTCTTGTCAATTTTGTTTTTTGAATACTAAAACGAGTAGGTTCCAGAAGATTAATTTTGAGGTCATTTAGGAGAGCGCTAAATGCTTCTGAACCTATAAAGCTGTATGTGTATTTGTACATTGTAAAAACACATGTTTCCTTTGTAGTATGTCATCAAAAAACTGAACCTGCGAAATGCCTCCAGCCGAGAGCGGCGAGCTGCTGAACAAGAAGCCCAGCTCTTGTCCCAGCTGAAGCATCCCAATATTGTCACCTACAAGGAGTCCTGGGAGGGAGGGGACGGCCTGCTGTACATCGTCATGGGCTTCTGCGAAGGAGGTGATCTGTACCGAAAGCTGAAGGAGCAGAAAGGGCAGCTCCTGCCTGAAAGTCAGGTGGTGGAGTGGTTTGTTCAGATCGCCATGGCTCTGCAGGTACTGTCCAGACCAGGGGTGGGCAAACTTTTTGACTCGAGGGCCACAATGGGTTCTTAAACTGGACCAGAGGGCCGGAACAAAAGCATGGATGGAGTGTTTGTGTGAACTAATATAAATTCAAAGTAAACATCATTACATAAAAGGGTACGGTCTTTTTTTCTTTAGTTTTATTCATTTCAAACGGGCCAGATCTGGCCTGCAGGCCATAGTTTGCCCACGGCTGGTCCAGACTCACAGAATCCTGCTTGCTCCAAGAGGCCGGGGGAGGGCAGGTGGATTTTAGGGAAATTCTTCCCAAAATGTGTACATGAAAAAAATGGATTTTTTTGCAAATCCATTTGTGAAGTGGACCCGGTTGCTCATGTTGTAGCATTGGAATGTTTCTGAATGAGTGATACCCATATTGAAGTAGACATGGATTTAATGTCTAATTGGAGGAAAAGCCAATTCTCCATTCACTTAATATTTATACCAAAGTCCATTTTAAGGGCCCTGAGTTGACAGAGAGCAAAGAATGACCATGCTTGTTATCAGCTGGTCAGCTGTGTCATACTGAAGGGTGGTTGGGCTAATGAATATTCCTAAATCGCTGGATTTGGGGCTTTAACCTTGTGGCAAAGTGAGTGGAAAGGTAAAACATGTTTGTGGTTTAATATACACATATTCAGTAGCGAGACTGTTTACGAAATCCTCTGGATTTGGACAGACTTGTCCAGAATTAGTTGACTTTGTAGTTTAAATTCTAGGATACTCTCTCTAAATAAACGTGAACTTGTTGTATTTGAAAATATTATTAAACTGAAGAGTCTATGAATCTGAGAGGAAAGTGCCTCTGACCTTGTAAAGTTGTTTTTTTCTCCTCAGTGGGAGTTTGTAAACACTAAATGATATAATGGTTAATGAACAATTGTGAAAGATACTGGAATTTTTTACTTTTTAAAAAGGCAATTGTCTACCTTTAATATATGCTCTATTACACTTGTGTATGGTGGGTGGCTGCTGAGCATTTGGGGAACCCCAGGTGCCCGGGTTTGCCTGTGCTCA